CAAGTGGAGTCCAACAAATAGATAAGAGGAGGAAAATACAGTTGGGCATGTCCCATCCTAGTCTTCCTGACTTTCATTTGGATAGATATGTGGCCCCTTGAAAATAGAAAGTTGATAAAACCCTAATGTGCAAATAAAATGTAGTCTTTGTACGAGCAGAAATGGCCAGGATAGAATGAAGCTGGTTGGTAATCCCGTGCAAACAAAGTGAACCACCTGTGGTAAAGTTAGAGATCTTGGGAAGCAGATTGTCATTACTTTAGTAATTATACACAAACACTTCTTAGTAAAGTGGATTAGAATTTAAAGAATAGATCAGCTTTATGTTCCACTATGAAAAAGGAAAAGTGTGTTAATTGCTCATAGACAGTAGCTTAGACAGAGGCACTTCACTGCTGAAGAATATGATATGGAAAAGGACCTTTGTTTAAATAACATGAGCAGTGTTGTGACATGGACCAACTAAAATCCTTAATGCGTGGCAAGGAAAATAGAGGCAAAACAATATGACATAAAAAGAGTTCTGTATTTAAATGTAGTATTTGGGGATACCATCTGTGTCAGATGTAGCTAAAGGCACTTTTTTGTATCTGCATTTCTTTCTTAGGCTTGTATTAAATATACGCAAATATTTTTAGGTGAACTGATTGCAAAATATAGGTATAGTATGAGTAGTTTCCACATACTTCAATTAAATATGCATATAGATTTTAAAACCCATTTAACCAGAATAACTAAGAAAATAAAATTATTTTTTTTAGAAATATGTAATACTTTAGTGTCGATCAGAAGAGCATATGTAATGTTGTCCCTAGCAGTTGGAATTGTACCACTTTAATTCTCTCTTACAAAAAGAATTTTCAAAATTAAACAGAATTAATATATAAGCCCATCAATAACTGCATTACAACCTTGCACTTATATAAACCTTCAGGTAAAATTATGGTATTTCAGATGCCTGAAACAGTTGTTGATCTTAAATACCAAATATACAGCAATAGTTAAACTGATTAGGGATAAACTTTTAGCCTTTGTTCTGAAGTTCCTTGCAGAGTGGATTTAATTCAGGTCTTAAATCTCCTTTGAATATAATTTATTTAGTACAGCAATATGAGGCCTCACATTTTTTATAAGTAGTGTTCAAGTATTTATTGCATAAATTAGTTTGTCTACAAACTCTGACCAACTCCTGATAATACCTGGCCTACAGTTCTATATCTGTGGTAGTATTTGACCTTAAGATATTTTTGTAGTTATTAAATGTTTAATCTTTAGTAGTATCATTTATACCAGGAAATTTACTTAAATAAGTACTATCAGTAATTTTAAAATGCTTTCATACAGTTTCCTCACTTTATCCATTTCTTATTTGCAGTTGAAAAATGAAGAAAAAGATACATATGAGGAAAACCTCCATTACCCTCTTCTTCTCATTTTAACCAAACAGAGATAGAAGACTACACCTTTTTTTTTAAGATGGACTGCTGAAAATTAATCCATGTATGTGGATGGTCAGGCAATGTGGAATGTTAATTTCCCCCCACTTATGTTCCTGAATCATCATTGGAGAAATATTTCTAATCTAAATGCTGAAAAAGATACTGTGGCTCATTTTGCAGAGTATAAACATTGAGACATCTTTTTTTTTGTAATTTCAGAAGTTATTTTTTGAATTATATTTCAGCCTCAAACTGATCAGACTTCACATGTATGCATTTAAAAAGTGTAGAGCTGGCTTTCTTCTATTTTGTGCCTTTGAACTTGCATGTACTTTGTTGATCTCTTTAAATACTATTTTGAGGTATATTTGAAAATATATGGATAATATACTTTGTGGGCTTAGATAATTGGTTATAAAGAAGTGAATGCATTGACACTTAGTTAGTAAGGAAATAGTTGTCTGAAGATCTTCTTAAATTGCACCTACTGAATGCTTGTATTTTGCTGTCTTTTTTTTTTTTTTTTTTNTTTTTTTTTTTTTTTTTTTTTTATTCCACTGTTGATTTTTCTATCCATTATTGAAATGTCCTCATTTCCTTTAGTGTTGAAGGCTCCTTTTCTATATGTGTGTATGTATGTTTTTTTCCAGCAGGACTTTTCCTCCTGTAGATGTATAAGAAATTATGCATCAGACAAAAGCCTCATAAACTGACCATTTGTCCTTTGGACACAATAGCCTGCCCAGCCCCTCTGCTCCTCCTCTCCAATTATGTGTGATTAGTCTCAGTGTGTTGTGTCAAGAAGGGGGAGTGTGCTGAGTGCTTATTATCTGTTTAGGTACAAGAAGAGCACATTTAGGTTCTGACTATGAATGGAAAGTGAGTCTTTATCAGGACTAAAATCTAAATACTACTATCCTAGAAATTGCTTTCAAAAAAACACATGCTTTTATTAATAAATTCCAAGAAACACTGTAAGGACTAAAGGATTTTATAATGTAATCAAACTATCTCCCTTGAATTAGTTTATATTGTGATATATTGTGTCCCCTATATTTAATATACAACTATTGTGATTTTTCTTCTACTGGCAAAGACAAAAATCCTACAGAGAAACAGGAGCAGTATCTGATTTCTTAACAATTTAACAGACTGTTTTAATGACTTCTCAGTAGCAGTCTTTAAACCACAACACTTTTTAAATGTTGGAAAAAAAGAGAGAGGCAGAGACCATGACTGAGAGAGGAAGATGCTAGCTGCAAGCAAATATACAGAATCCTGCTGAAATATATTAATTAAAATAATTGAAATTTGAATAAGCATTCTTCCATATTCATTGGCCAGCATGTAAACCACAAGCTCCTGAAAGTCCCTTGCTCTTCTGCTTCATCCCAAATAAATTTCTTCACTACCAGATTGCACGTCCTTGTATTCAGTACTTTTTATGCTCCATTAGAGCACCTAGATGGATCTCAGAAGGCATAGGTCAAGTCGCAGTTAGATCATACATTTCTTTCGCACAAAAACTTGAATTGCAATGCCAAGTGATGGGCTAACATCACAATAACAGCAATTTATTCCTCTTTTGATAAAAAGCAGCCTATTCTCGGTGTTAGATAAAGACCAGGGCAATGCAAACCAACCATTTATCCTAGAACTGAGTAGTATAGCTGGTATGAGTTTCATATTCAAACTCCTGTTGGAAAATACTTGTGCAGTAAGAAATCAAAAGCATTTAGGAGTAATTTGAAATTGCTGTGAAGATGGCTTTGGTGTAATTAGTTTTGTTTTGTTTGTCCCACACAGCAGTGCCTTTGTTTCTCTAAAAGCATGTACAAGGAAATCTTCATAATCAACAAAGCACACAAAACAAAGTGTGGAAAATAGTGCAATATTAAAATTTGTGAACCTTTTATTTTTGAAAGGACCTGAGTGTCTGCTGTACAATAATCTAATAAAGATTGTTGGTTGCCAAAAATAAAGGCAATGGCATTTGAAAATTGCAGTTTTAGCTCTAAGAAGAAAACAGTTCTACTCAAATTCATAGCTGATAATTGCTTTTTATTTCTTTAGTGTCTGGCGTTGAGTTAAAGGCTTTGCACAGGTGCTGCCATCCCTAAAGTGTGTAATTGATGGCTTGTTTACCAAAGATGCATTTAGGCTTCATCCTGTAAACTCATATTGGAGCTCCACAGGCAGTAAAGTTACTCATCTACATAAGTGCTTGCAGGTTTAGTCCATGTACACGTTTTTAGAGGTACATAAACAAGTTCTCTTTTTGTTTTTTTGTTTTAAAATGGATGTTGAGAAGTCACAGATACAGGATGTACATGAGGCACTAAGAGTGTTCTCTTTAGATACATCTCTGAGTCACTTGCATTAGGTATTTGAATTGTTTCTGAGCACTTAAATTTTAATAACAATACAGTGTTTATTAATACATCAAATATATTTGCTAAGAAAATGTTAGGCAGTGTGTCAAATCATGTTTATAAAATGTATCAGAGCCTTTTATGTCATGTGTTTTAACTAGTCTCTGATACTTGGTATATTTTTAATGATATAATTTACAGTGTTCTGTAACAGAATATTGAGCTTAATTACTTTGTGTTTGCAAAGCATTTGAAGTTGAATGACACCTTGAAAGAGCTATGCTGGCTTCACTGAGAATGGACATGTTAGACTGATATAAATTTTCCTTCACATATGTTGGTAATTCTTACAGCAATTCTGTGTCTTCTTTCTCAGAGCAAAAAGGCAGAGAGGAATGATATTCTTGTGGGCATCCATTCCTTGGGCACAGCTCTCATGAACCTGGTGCCACTGACAGCTGAGTAATCTTCAGGATATGAGAGATCAAGAAGAAAGTATTCCATTTCCTGCTGTGAGATATGGCAACGCCTTGCTTAAAAATTGCAAACTAGTCCCAGCTGATAGCATTCTAGAACATTGGGAAAAAGCTTTCCATTTAGGAAATAAATTTGATTTGAAACAAAAAAGAGTGTGCAATGAGGCAGGAGAACTTGTGATCCCAGGTACCAGTCCAGCTTCAAAATCCTTATTAGACAAGTCATTCACCTTGTGCATGTGGATACATGTTTGCACAGGAGGAAAGCTGGATTAAAATTGTTCCCCCCCACAAAAAGCATCTTTATATCTTGAGCCTGGCTGCAAACGGTCTATCAAGTGTTACATCTCCATTACAACTCTCCTTCGCTGTTCCCTGAACAAAAGAGGATGCAGTGGGTGGAGCTTTTGATACTCCTCTTCATATGGCAGGTGGCACAGCTGATATGGCGGGGGAAGAGGAAAAAGGCAGCAACACATGCAAGTCAAACAGCACACTGTTTTATTACCCACTCTCTCTAATGCAAGAGGGGAATAACCTAGTCCTTGTTTTTTTCACAGGAGAAATTATAAACATGTAGTTTAGCTTTGATTGTAATGTTTTTTTTCCATTCTGTGGGTTTCTTCTTTTTTAAGGCAGGGATTTTTAACAGTGATGTCAAACTGCAAATTCCTTTAACTCTTTTGAAATGTTTTGAGAAACTGGGAGAAAGTGTTAGGACAGCATGCACTGGTGGTTATGTCTAGAATATTTTCTGCACAGCCTGGTCATCCCTTGTTATTTCCTCAGAAAGTGGCAATTTTTTCTGCTTTCTATCTTTCTATTCACTTTTTATATTTTCCTGAGTCTGATTAAGGTGGTGTCTCCACTGCCACGAATGGGTAGTCAACACTGGTTGTAAGCCCACCAGTATCTTTTGAAAGATTGTTTTGAAAGTTGATTTTCAATATGATTCTCATCTGCAATTCAACAGCGCTTAGTAAATGCAATCAAAATGAGGGCACCCTCATTCAAAATCCCATAAAGCTAAAAGAAGGTCAATACATGACTTAGTAAATTTCCAGATGAATGTGTTAGTAAGGAGGAATAAGTAATGTGTAAGCCTCCACATGATGCCCATTCCTCATATGAGGGAACCTGAAGCACAGCCAGTGTTGCTGTCTTCATTGCCTATAACAATTTAGAAATCAGGCAATGCACTCTAGAACTGACCCCAGATTTTGTGAGAACCACTGCTATACCTCTTCTGCAAGATCCATCTCCTTCTCCAACCTGTGGACTCTGTTCCAACAGCTGAATGTAACAAACCTAACTTTTCTTTCCCATTTTTAAAGGATTTAGCCTGTAACAGCTCCTTGCTTAGTCAGCAGCTGGCTTGCTGCCAAAAAGCCCAGCATATTGTTGTGGCTGGGTAAAAGCTGGATATTTTCCATGGCTGTCCAACAGTGGAATTGGATCTTCATTGTCTTCTCGTGTGTAAAGTGTGTGGAAAGTAGAGGGAAGATGCGAGAAGCGTTAGTCCAGATGGCATTCCACAGCCTGAGAAGAAACATCTTGACCCTCGAATCTGGGTTAAACTCAACAGATGCCAAGCCCCCAAAAACAAAAAGCTGTTGTGGCTGACGACAGCTAAGGAGAGATAGGCCTTTGGTAACAGAAAGTATCTTTTATTTTGGATGCATTTCCCTGCAGATAACCAAAACAGTGTCACTTGCAGAAGATTGCTTATTAAAAACAAGCAAAAAAATTACGGTTCTCTGCATTAGGCATCATCTCCCTTCAGTTGTAAAATGTTGCCCCTGGGTGATGGGTTATGCTCACAGAAAGGATTTGAACATTCAGACTGCGCTGTGCCCTGACAGAGCCTGCATGCTAAAAGACCTGTTATTTTTTCCTGACTCTGACTCCAATTAATGTACTTTTTAAATGATTAAACATATCATGCTGTGACTTCTGAAATGTCAACAAGCTTCGAAACTTGGGAGACAAGAATGTAATAAAATAGGTAATAGGAGATTCAATAGTTAATAGAGGCCCTGAAGTGTGAGTGTATACAGTAGCTGTATATTGGAAACTGTGCAAATGAAGATGGCTTAGTATTGCAAACTGAGGAAGAAAATTGTTTTTAATTAGCACCTTCATAAGAACTGCTGATTAATACTGTTTGGTTTGGTGAAAAGCTTTCAGCTGAGTAATTTGTACAGCCATTACAACAGTTTTGTTAGACCAGGACTCCTGTTGTTAAACACAAACAGCAGATGATAATGGTGGAAGATGAGTTTGTCATGTAACAATTTACCTTATTGAAAAAAGCTTTATATAAAACCCAATACAGTAGGTACTAGCAGAAATCACATATTTTAAATCCTTTCAAGATTGCAGTGTGCAATGCTGGTGTGTTTTTTTCATGGAAGAGAAACAGATTTTATATCATTTATAAAATTATATATACAATTTAAAGGTGTTGTAGCATGGACAGACCACTTTACTGGTAATGCTTTACATCAGGACAGTAAAGTGCTGGTATATTCAGACACTTCCTAAGTACACAAAGTCGGACTAAAATTTGAAAGGTAATTAAGTAATATTGTTCACATGCAAATATATGTTTGTGCATTATGCACTGAAATTATGTCTGGTGTTTGTGTGATGTCTAGCATTTATACCTAAGGCTTTAAGGAGATTTCTCCCAGGTTA